CTTTCTTTTTTTTTTCCCCTCTCAACATTTTTACGATCAGTGGAAGAAAAAAAAAATTGGCAGCGCCAGCAGCAGCATCCAGGCGGTCATACCTTACATCCAACATCGTGAGCGAATTAACGAGACAGTAGCGTAATTCCTCTGTCCTTTTGCGCCGTTGCTTCCTTCGTACCACAGTTTTTCTTTGTGCTGCTGTTTCCATCTTACAAGGATCATTGTGTCCAACGCCAAAGATGCCGTTGTTTGCCAGTCCAAAGATTATCAGAGAAAAATTGAAAGTTTTCGACATTTTTGTACACGTGGCTCCTATAGTCAGTCACGTTAACGCGTAAATTTCAAGGATAAACCAGCTTGTTTTTAACACCTTGAAAGCACGAAATTTTATTGAAACAAAAAGCTGTACCCCCCCTCCCCAGAAAAAAAAAAAAAAAAAAAAAGAAATGAACCGATTGCCCCGAAACAATAACGACGCTTGGAGCACAGCGCATACACTCTACGTTGTACAACAATTAAAGAGCCAAATTTCAAGCTCCATTTCTAATCTGGTGGCAACCATTGGGAAACAATGAAAAAAAAAAAAAAAAAAAAAAAGGGATAGCAGACAGTGTACAGCCAGGGGAAAGGAATGGAGCCACAAATAAAGTTCGCGGTAAAACCCAAAGTGCTTCGTAAAGCCTCGCCCGATTCTTCTAGGGGAAAAAAAAATTCCTCCACGAGCCCTCCGTGCAATTGTCGGCAATCAGGGGGTCTAACGCGTGTCGCTAACCGCCACACTCCCTCCACTTTTTTATTTGTCTCTCCAACATAAGCGAGAAGATAAAGGGACGAGGCGCGTCGATAAATCGCACTCGATAACAAAGAGCACTCGAGCCACTGGCATACGTATACACATATACACGGGGGCAGGGCTGCACGCCGATACAGTCTCGAGATCACCGGGAGGAAGATGCTCAGGCAATCGATATACCGCCTCTTTCCCTCGTTACCATTCAATGTACATAGTTATACCTGTGCGTGTATACATATGCCTACCTTCTGTGGCTCTCGTTTCTCCTCTCACAAGTTGGAAAGGTCTCGTCTATCACGGATTTTCGCACGCGTCGCTGACCCAAAGTAATTCTTCGACCTCTCAAATTGGGCACCTGTAACCCTGGTAGTGAAAAAAAAAAAAAAAAAAAAAAAAAAAAATGATTCAAACGTAAATATTTCGAGCGAGAGAACCCCACGCGCGTCTCGAGGTGTTTTAGAAATTAAAAGCTTAGAAACAACGCGGGGGGAGGACACAGTAAAATCACCACCCCGGCTCCACGCTCGGAGACACAATGTGCTCGGGGACAAAAGGCCACCTCCTTAACGAGACAATGAAAAATCATAAGAGGGATTTGCGCGAAGAGGCTTTCGTCACCCCCGGGATATAAATGACGATAACGATGACGATGATACCCCGCACAATGTACTCCTCGAGGTGGGATTGATTTCTGAATAGATTCTAACTTGTTAAAAAATAAGAGGGTTAAAAAAAAAAAAAAGAAAAAAACTTTGTACACAAAAATATTCATGTTATATGTTTGATGATGGAAAACGTAAACGTATATATGCAGATGGTATAAACGCAGCTATAACGACGAAACAATAAGCCGGCGAACGCATATTATTATAATCTCGGGGCTCTGCCCAATCGACACTGGAGTCATGACTTGGACGTAAGCAAGAAGCTCGTAGTGGCGGGCTAATTAAAGCGCGTGCCGGAGCCAGGTGCAATCACCTGCTGTTTAATCGATTGAACGTGGCATTAGGTAGGGCAGGGGGATCGTTTTGTTGCAGCCGTAAATTGCCTGCTTTTTGGAAAAAAAAAAAAAAATGTTTTTTTTCTTCTTTGTTTGCTTATAACTTGTACCGGAGGAGCGGTCCTTTTCACAAATGATAACGAAACCAATGAAATGATTGGTGGTGGATGCGGCAAACTGGGGAAGGCCATTATCACCCCGTGGATAGGATAATGAGCAAAACGGACGGAAAATAAACCCCTCGCGCGATCGAGCACAATAAAAAAAGAAGAAGAAGAAAAAAAAAGAGTGAGCGCGGACCGAAGGAAGAGGGGGGAGGGATAAGCTGGAGCTCCTCTCGGCTGCAAGCTCTGACACGTTCGACGCGCGCCAGTGAGAGAGATGATTAAAAAAACCGTGCACATGGAGGAAGTGGGATGAAGCAAAAAAAAAAAAAAAAAAAAAAAAAAGACGACGCGTGCACGTGAGCGTGAAAAAAAAGAGAGAGAGAGAGGAAAAAAAGGATCTTTCATCGATAGCAGGGTGAACGGCGCTTATTTCATGTGTGCGCCCTCTCGCTCCCTTTACCTCAGTCGCGAGCTCAAACTGCATGGTGTACAAGCACAGGGAGTTTATTAATAATTACAACAATAACGTCCGAGTCGCGCTGCTGCTACTGCCTTTAGAAATTTATTTTTACACCCCGCTTTACCACCCCCCCCACTTCCTCTTGCTCTTGTTGATCATTTCATCCCAGCCGTCGCTCTCTCTCTCTCCGACTGGCTGCTGCTGACCCCACCTCGGTGCTCCTTCCTTCCCTGTAGCCGCCGCAATAGCAACAGCAGTGGCGGTATAGCGGCAGCCACCACTGACCCAAATTCCCCCTTGCATCGAAGCCAAGAGAGAGAGAGAGAGAGAAGGCGCGCGCGCGCAGTTGTGCTATGTATACGTGCCACTACCGCTGATACAGCGACGACGACGACGATGCCGATGGGAGAGGGTTAGCAGGGAGGGGAAAAGGGTGGAAAAAAAAGGGAGAGCAAGTACGGGTGTGTGGAGTTGATCGCGAGACCATAGCTGCCGAGCAGGGGGTGGGGCGACACCCGGGCTGAAAAGAACCGCACTGCAGGACGCAAGACGACAGCTGAAACGAGAGCAAGGGGGGGCGGGGGGGAAGGATAGGAAGGAAGACGAGTCACTTTTTAGGGGTTGGAGGGCTAATTAGACCGGATTAAGGCTTTGTTGATGATTACGAGGCTTTTCGGCTCCTGCCGGGGAGGGACTTTTAATTAGTACCCGCATCCCCGGGACGTTTTGTTATGTGTGTATATTTGCAAGGGATTGGGGAGGGCAATTATGAAACTTGGTTGTCAGGAGCTTCGTTTGATGGCATATCTCATGGAATTTGGGGGAATAAGTTGGACGGTGGTATGAGGCTGCTTGAATGTTATTTAATCGGGAAGGAGAATGGGTGGGAAGAGGGGCTGAGCAGTTGCTTCGTTGTTAGAGGAGCCCGTCTTTTTCCACCAGAGTTCCCGAGTTTCAGGAGCCAAGAGCCGGCATCGAGGAAACTTGATGCGGCCACTCGAGAGAGCCCCGGAAATCCGCAAAGGATTAAACTGGAACAAAAAAAAAAAAAAGAAAAAGAAAAGAGAGATACTCTCGCCCGCGCGAGAAACCTCGAGCGTGTTTTGTGCACACCCGGGAAGGAATAGCAGTTTAACGATGCACTCGACTTTTTGAGATTTCGTTCTCGCTCTCCCCCTCTGTGTCTCGGATGTGGGAGTTGGCAAGCCGGCACTGGGCTGGAAAATTGTTTATACAGTTTTCGCTCGGAGTACCCAACTTTTCAGTCGTGAGGTTCTTTTTGATTTTTCAATTCCGTTCGACGCTTTTTTTTTTTTTTTTTTTT